CCCATAAATTTTTTAGGGGCGTTTTGAACCCCTAAACCACCCCAAACTTTTCTATGCGGTCTATTGCCTTTTAGAACTTTTTCGAAAACCGATTTTTTTGAAGATCATTGGCTTCTGACGAAATTGATTTTTACCTTCAATGATTCGATGCTTCAGTTGTTGATTGTCGATTATTTCAACGGAATACACATTCTCTTTCATAAAACCCCAGAAGCAAAAGTCAATAGGGTTAAGATCTGAACTTCTGACTGGTCCAAAAATAGGTGCATCAAGGCCCCTTCCAATCCAACGTCCAGGGTACAGACCGAAAAGATATTCCCTAACTTCGTTATCGAAATGCGCTGGAGCTCCATCTTGTAAATATCACATATTTTGCCTTGTTCCCAAATTTACCTCTTCCAAGTAGGTACCCTGGTAAATCATTTTGTAAGAACTGCAAGTAATTTGCACCATTGAAATTATTTGGAAGAAATACTGGTCCTATTAAATTATTATTCACAATGCCTGTCCAAACATTGACTTTAAAAGTCCTTTGGTGATGAGTGACTTTTTTGGGTGAGGATTTTCTTCGGATCATTTGTGTCCGTTATGGTATTTCGTAATGCCATTTCTATTGAAGGTAGCTTCATCGACAAACAAAATATGAATAATGAAATTGATATTTCGAATGTTTTCTGTTAAGAACAAGTCGCAAAATCCCATTTTTTGGATATTCTTCCTCTAGTAATTCTTGAACGATTAAGTGATATGAATGAAGCTGCTAACATATAATTGAGCAGCTATTACCCTTGTACTGCTTCCAGGGTTTTCTTCGACTAATTCTAAAATCTCCTCATCGTTTGTATCCATTTTTGGACGACCACTATTACCAGCAAGTTACGGTCGCAAAGTACTGAGATATTTTTCCGTATAACGACTTGCAGCTGCTGCACTATTCTCTTGGCATTCACCTGTGATTACCAAAATTACAGATAATTATCTGAAACCTTGTTTTAGCCTGACCAAACTTACATAGAATTAAATGCATATCTGCCATTTTTGCACACGTGTAAACCATTGTAACAGAAAGTTCAATTTTTATTAATACTTTTAAAATGCACAATAATCGAAAGCTTCAATTGACAGTATGTAATTGTTAAAGCAATTGTTTGTTATTTATCCGTAGAAACTACAAATGTTGAACAGTCAACTTCAAAATTTTTGAAGAACAATAAAAAAGGGGCCGCAGCTCGATAAAAACTGGCTTTTCGAAAAAGTGCTAAGAAGATAAAAAATTTAAAAAATGATGTATTAAACCAATGGTATCACAATACTATTGATTCTATTTTTCATACGTTTTAATAATTCAAGAGATGAAGGGAAGCAAAGATATCAGTCTATACCCAGACAACACATCAAATCCTAGAGATATCCACAGAATATCTTTTGTGGATATCCAATATATCCACAGGATATCATAGATATCTCGTGGGTCTAATATGGATATCCAAATGTCCGTCTATATCCAGGATATAGAAGATATTCTATGGATATCCAGCAAAATATCTAATGGGTACCTTTAGACAGGGCCGCCGAGAGCCAGGTCGGGCCCCGGGAAAATTTCCCAGGTCAGGCCCCGGAAAATTTTTCCAGGTCGGGCCCCGTGACAATTTTAGAAAAAAAAATAAGCCATTTCAATATCACATTTCTAAAAAAAAAGTCTTTCAGCAAAAACTTCTCCTTTTCAGTGTACATCCATTATTTGATATATTTAAGATATCGAAATGTCTATGCCTATAGGGTGTCATATTTAATGCTTCATTTATTTTTTTTTTGCAAGATAAGTGGAACAATGTACTGCATAATCTAAAAACATTCCATATGAAGAGAATCAGCATTTCAGTAGCATAACAACGGAACGCCCTGTATTTTAAATTTGGTATATACACCCATACAAAGTTTACTATTCTAGTGTTAACTATTTTTGAAGCTTCACAGCATATGTATAGCATGTAGAGTAGAAAGAGTATCAACATTTTATTTTTACAATTAAATATTGTATACCATACCTAAATATCATTGAATATGTGAAGTAAGTTTAAATTGAATGCAACGCACGAGTTATAAACATACTATTATATTAAATAACATTACATTTAAGCTGACGAATGAACATAGTACCCACAGCCAAGGAAAACCTAATCACACATAGACACACACATTATATAATGGCGCGGCAATTTCAACTGGAATTTTCTTCCTGAAAAAAAAAAGACGATCTGTTGTAGAATTCCTCAAAAAGTGAATCTATATTTTAAATCAAGCTATACCCAAAACGAAAATGAAGTCTGAAAAAAGCCTTTTGTGCAGAGTGTCACTTATACAATATATAACACTTACTAATAATTTAAAAGGGCTGGATCTGTGTATATATTATACCTATTTATCTAAACTGTTGGTCCAGCTAAACATAACCTAACCTTACTTGTTAAATTATTTATACATGCTATTGAATTCAAGGCAGATGTAATAAGATTACCTTAACCAGTGAAAAAAATACCTCTCTTATTAATTATAACAACCATTAAACAATAAAAACCAAACCGAAACAATAATAATCACACGAAATAAGTAGGTATATGAAGGTATGTAAAGTAACATCCATCTTAATTATAATAAAATAGGGTATCGTAAAAACGACATGAATTTCTAGTTATGAATTACCTAAAAAGGACATGGATTTTAACGTACATTGCATACAACCTACTTAACAATCTTAATAACGTGAATTTAACCATTGTCTTATTTAACTAAAGTCTATCAACCTTCTACACTATTAAATTTAGGTTTTAAAGCTTACTTACATCCTTTTAATCCAAAATTATCAAATGAAACTCATGCACACGACACAAACAAAACTAAAACAAACTATAAAATGGCCGATGGCACCTGTGAGGGCAGAAAATATCCGCGTCTGCGCTCGCCAATATTATTTATCTAGCGGATATCTGTGGGATATTGAATAGGTACTACTAATTTTAAATTTCTATAAACCATACCTACATACTTTCTTAGTTATTACATGGCGTAATATTTAAATAATTTAATAATTATTAAATCAAGTCACATACTTTCCGATATTTAGGTAGATATTATATCCATAAATTACACTTAGTGGATATCCACCGCATGGTTTGCGTTAGCGCCTAGACTTTGATGTATTTAGTGGATATCCATGGGATATTGAATACACCTAAAAAAAATTAATTTTAAATATCTAAACAGTACTATTAGCCACAATGGCGTAATTTTTTAATAATTTGTTATATAAATACTATCATGGATATAAAATAGGGGACGGGACATTCAGTAGATATTGGGATGTCCAGTAGATATCCAAAGGAATTGCTGTGCTGTCTGGGTAGTTGGAGCATTTCTGGCTATCTTCAATACTTGAAACCCAGAACCGTTACTGAAATTAGTGAGATTTACTAAAAAAAGTACCTACTTAAATATTTTAAGAATTTAAGAAATGACACTCAAAATCAATCCCACACAAAAAAAAATTAATTACAAACCTTAAAATTTCAAAACTTTTTACATTTCTCGAGTATCCTGATTAGACAACACTGCAGAGTCGTGACTCCATAAATGATCTATGACGTGCATAGGTATTTGTATTAAGGGTATGGTCCGTTATTAACCGAAATATCGGTTACTCGGTCCAAAACTAACCGCAGTGCCTGACATTCCTGAAAAATCGGTTACCTGAAAATGGTGACTTAAACGTCAATTCACTAACCGCTATATTTTTACGGTTACTATTTAAGTCGAATGTCAATCTGCCACAAAAATGACGTAAATCTCGGCCATGGTCCAAAAGTAACCAATAAATTAGTTTTTTTCAGGAACCGCTGTCAAAAAATTCTGGTTACTAGCGGTTAGTAGTCGGTTAATAACGGACCATACCCTTAAAATACTTGTAAATACTACTATAAAATCAGAAGAAAGTGCGTTCATTTAATGTATAGTACAATTGAGGGTATTGTCATATTAATTATAATATAATCATATAATTTTTATTTCACAAAAAATTATGATTAGATTGATTTTTAAATTAGGTCCTCGCAATACATGTAAACTCATACTTTTACTTAACAACATTTTAACTGTTCCTTGCATTTACATTTTAAATTGTTTATTAAAAGATAATTTAACAAAACTATCCTAGTCATCATCATTACAAAACAAATCATCAATTTGAGTTATCACCAACATATTATCAAGGTATTCGACTTTATAATCACTTTCAAAAAGAAATTAAAGACCTAAAGAGCATCAATTTAAAAAAAATAAAATATATTTTATCACAAAAATACTATACTATGCTGTTGAAGAATATTTAATATTTTTCTTGTAATACCTAATAGTTTAATAAATATTATTATTATTATCAGAATGTATAATTTGTCGATTCAAGTTGAAAATGTCTTTTAGCAGATACAAGTCATAAATTAGAAGAAGAATTATATATTTTGGGCATACTCTGATTGAATCAACTCTGAATTTTGCCTTATTTTAAATATATTCGAACTGGATTCTGCGTAGAAACTTCAACTTATGTCACAAAATTTTAATTTTCAAAGCTAATAAACTTTTAAAGCATTATTAACTATTTTGTAGGTATTTAAGATTTGTATTTTTACTCATAAAACATGAATTGTCAAATTAAAACACTAAAGATAAAGTAAATTTAGTTGTTAATATTAGAAACAAACATCTAAAAATATGGTTAAAAGTAAAAATATAATTTTGACGATCTTTCATCTACGTTAAAACAAAAAATATTCAATTATTTTCTACGCAATTAATATAATGAGTGCCTTAAAACTAAATTAAGAATAGGTATATCACGCGACATTTAAATAATAAAATTCCGCTCGAACGCCACTGATTTCTAGTCGATCCCAGTCGGCGTAGTACGCAGATCGCGGCGCTTTCGTTCGAGCCACGTCAGTGGTGAGAAAGCAACGTGAGCATATCGCGGCGACAGAATGTCGACGGCGTACACTAACCTTCAAATTCAGCCTGAAGAAGCGCAAATGGACGTCGTCAGAAGAATCAATGTTGCTGCCCTTATTAAAGAGGTGGATAGGCATCCGCTGCTTTACAACAACACGCCAAAACAGTCGTGCTCCTCCGAAACGAAGAGAAAAATTTGGGAAAATATCGCGGAATATCTATGCGGAATCCAGCATTGGCAGCTGTACAACGAATCTGAGAAGGATGTTGTGGGTAATTAACATTAAACATTATCAATATAATAATAGCAACACCAAAATAATTTATGTTTCCATGCGGGAAAATATTTGAAGCGGGTCTAGGTGAATGAATCTACGAATTCAAATTGTTAGCGGCAAACGAGGCTTTATTTTGAAGTTGAACCTTCATAAGTTCCGTTGTCGCAGTTACCGTCACATCGCCAGTCAGTGGGGTTTGCGACGTTGTCGGCGTTACAGCGATTTCCGGGTTTTAAGGAATTTTATATATCTAATTTAGAGCATTTGATGATTATATACTAGAGATTTCTCTTATTTCTTACCCCGAAGTGCCGAAGCCTTTACATTACCATCAATACTCTTTCAGATGCAGATCTTATTTGAAATCCCGCCATTTAACTTTTTTATAGATATACCTATTATACCGGGTGTTCAACTTAAAGCGTTACAGCTATATACCGCTTTTTATAAAAAAAACCGTTTCAGACGAAAGTTTTATAGTTTTGTGGGGAAAAACTTTTGGCTAAAATCGTTTTTTATAGCTAACCATAATATGGCAAACTTTTTTTTCGCGCAGCAACATTTTCAAGTTGCTGTTACTCAAAAAGTAAAAGTCCAATAAAAAAATATTTCCCTCAAAAGTTTCTTATTTTTTTATGTACTTTAAGAATATGTAAGAAAAAAACAAAGTCCACCTCGATATGGCCATATTATGGTCAGCTACAAAAAAATGAATTTAGCCAAAAAACTATAAAACTTTTGTCTGAAACTTTTTTTTCTAAAATGCATATTTTCGGCGGTATTTGACTGTAACACTTTAATTTGAACACCCGGTATATTTGTTTTGTTAGTTTATTAGGTATATGACTAAGTTCAAGTTTGTCTTAATAACCTAAAATAATTTTTAAAATTTGTAGTGGGTCGTAGAAAAAATATACTGTACAACTCGAGTGGATTGTCCATATCCATTCTTTTTGCACAAACTAATATTATTTATAAATATGCTGCAATGAAACATAAATATATGATATATGACAATTTATTATTAAAAAAAATGAAAGGTACCTACGAAAAGAGGATAAATTATATTTGAATGCAAAAAGGTGTTAATTTTTCACAAATATAGATATTAAAAAAAGAGATTTACCTACGTACTTGTATTATTTATTTAACTAATATTTTTAAACAAAGGGCATATTATTAGTTATTAAAGAAAAGTATATGTATAGTTAAATACATTTCCTAAAAATTATTTCTTAATTAGGTACAATAAAACAAAAAACATAACTAACAATATAAGAAAATTTTTAAACAACCATTATTTATAGTTCACCTCTTTAATTTTTTTATCAGTTTTAAAATAGATTTAAATATTTCTAAAAAAAAATATTGAAACTTTTAAATAGATTAATTATACAGTATGTGTACCTAAGCTGTCAGCATATGAAAAAATTATTACTATTAAATTTTACGAAAAAAATTTTTTGATAAGGAGTCCCTTTGTCATTAAATTTTAATCTAATATACTTTTTGATTAAATTAATAATTACGATTAAAATTTGTTAAGTAGGTACCTATTTATTAGTATATAGGGAAAATAAAAAAAATAATGATTTATGCTTAAGAGAACCTAAAGTATCTTTTCAATACAAAACAAAATATTTATTGAAATTGTTTATTGAAATTAAAAAAATTTTAAATTACTTATTTTTAATTTATGTCGACTTGATTTGATTAACAACTAAAATAACCAATGATAATGTATTAAACATTTTTTGAACTTTAAATTTTTGATGCCTGATTATGATGGATTTCCAAGTGACACAGAACTTTTTATAAAAAAAAACAACTTTTTTTTGTAAAACATTTTTTTCCTTTTGCCTAATACTTAGATGGTAGACTCACTATAATAAATTTTATAATTTTTTTAATTTGCAAATATTTTTTCTTTGATCATCATCTGTTAAAAGTTTTCCCATTAAAATACCTTCATTACTGCAGGGCCTATTTTTAAAATATTACTTGCGTATTTTTCAAAATAATTCCATTTTTTAACTTTTTTGAACCATGAGGCAATTTTAGTACCCAAGAAGAAATATTGTAATTGTGGGCCAGGGGCGCATATACGGGTGGTAATAGGGTAAATATTACCCCCAGGCCTAAACACTGGATGCGCCACTGCTGTGGGCACTATAATAGAGTCGCAATCGACACGGAGTAATAAATCAAAATTTTATGGGAGTTTTACAGCACAGGCAGCTCAAACAAAATCTGTGATTTTAGAGAGCCGGCAGTTGAAAGGTGTGGTGAACTTAAGAATTTTACTCGTGTCGGCCGGTTTTGTGGAACGTAACAATGGGCTACCCTTGTTTTAATCCCTTTTAAGACTATTATGATCGCACGGTTGGGTAAATTAGGGGTATTTGTTTCCATTATTTTTTTATACTATTTTAAACTTAAATAATTGTTATTTCCGCCGGGGTGCTTGTTTTAGGTAAGATCCCCTCGCCACTCACTCCTGAAAAAAAATTCTATTTGGCTAAGACCAATTTTTTGTTTTTTGTGTTTTTTTGGTGGGAACTTATCAAGATTGAATGTTTATGTCCTGTTACATTTTGCTAACTATGTTACCTTCATTTTTTTGCATTCTGCACATAATTTAAAAATGGTTCTGAGGTATCTCCATCTCCAACAATTTCCTCAGAATCAATAAGTGTTGCTTTCCTGTCCTGTTTATCCCACTTGAACTTCAAATCTATTAGAGTTTTCCGTAGTTTTGTCTTTCCCATTTTAGGAAAATACGGATCACTATTGATTGCGTCCAACTGTTGGTATCTCTTTTTTAAAATAAAATTCGTGAACTTTTCTTCTTATTCCGCTTTTAATTTGTTCAGTAAATTCTACTTTTTTCTTACTTCCTGCACTTTTCTTTGGGGGTTTAACAACTCCACTTTTTAATTCACTTATTACTTTATATATCGTTGATATAATGAATAGTTATATATTATACAAAGAAAAAAGTATTGGATTTAATATTTTTCCCGTGTATAATACACAATTTTTTCTTTGACGGCAAAAACGACGATTTAATATTGAAAACAGTATTCTAAAATATCTACCTTTACTTATTTGTATTTATATCCAGGAAAAAAATACTAATTTTTTCCCGGGGAAACACTTTTTTCTCGGGGAAACACTTTTTTCCCGGGAAACATTTTGTTACCTGATAAGAGAGATGTCAATCTTTTTTCTCGTCACAGAAAAATTATATTTTTTTCCAATGTGGATGTATCTAACTATACATTATTTTTGTTTAAATTTGGTGTGTTATATTATACAGGGTGTAACTAAATAAGTGTAAAACATTTAAGGGGGTGATTCCTCATCGAAAAAAAGATAGGATCTTTCATATAAAGAAACTTCATTGGAGCATCTCTTGTTAAGATACAGCCCCTTAAAGGGGGTACATAAAATACACAATTAGTATTACTTCAATTTCAAAAATTTACAAACTGACAGCTTGATTTCAATGTAATTGTCAGTATCGCTAATAGCGGCCTACTAGATAAATTAGTTTCGTATTTTCGTTTTATGGCGATATCCTCGGCGATATCTATATTGTTCGTAAAATAATTTTTTGCTGCGAACTGGTTTATTTTGGGCAAAAAATTCAAGAGACATTTTTTGTTTAGAATGAAACATGCTATCGGAAATACATTTTTAAATGGTAAAGAAATAATAAGACAAAAAATTACGTTGGAACGAAATTTTAGGGGTTTCGTTTTCCACCCCTTACAACCATGGGATAAACCAAATAAATTACTGTCTAAGTGTCTTTTTGGTAGTAGAAAATGTCAGGTTAATTTCAATATTGTAACTTGTTTAGTGCTTGGGAAAAAAATTGTTAAACCAATTTTATGTACCCCCTTTAAGGGGCTGTATCTTAACAAGGGATGCTCCAATGAAGTTTCTTTATATGAAAGATCCTATCTTTTTTTCGATGAGGAATCACCCCCTCAAATGTTTTACACTTATTTAGTTACACCCTGTATATTCTTCATTAACTAATTCTGTAATATTTATTTTTGCTTCTAAAATTATCATCCATTTAAAACTCTGCATAAAGGTAAATCTAGAATATAACATTTTTTGTATTTTTAATGAGATTAAGAATAATATTACCTAGAAGTTCATTTTGTAAAATGAAATATTAATTTTATTCCTTCTTTCATAAGGATTAACCTAGCGCTGGGAACATAAATCTAGCCAGGCATTGAACTCTAAAACAACAGAATGATTTAGTAATACGTTTACCAAATCTATTCAAATATTTCTATTTCAGAAACAAGTAATAAAAGTAATTTTAAAAAAACGACTTCAAAATCGTGCAGATGCCGTCACCACATCTTAACGGGGCCACCCCTGAGGTAATCCCTTACTAACAAAAAAAGAATCACATAAATCGGACAAGATGGTAAAGAATTATCGCTAAACATACATAAAAAATGAATAGTTTGAGGATTTTTCTCATGGACCCAATTATTAGATTTTGACCAAATTTATATGGGGACTACCCATGAAGTACCCCCTTTCTAACAAAGAAAGAATTATTGAAATCGGGCACCGTGTTAAAGAATTATCACTAACCAATATAGGAATGTTCCACAATTGATTAGTGGGTGGATACATAACATGCTCTCAAAGCGAGCAGTAAACATAAGTGTAGAAGATGTTAATATAAGAGGCTTGGTTGCGAGGAGATGTCCATCACCTCTACTGTGGAATATGGTCCTAGACACCCTCATCAGCCGCCTCAATAATGACAGTCACTACACAATAGCATATGCAGATGACCTGGTCATTCTGCGAAAGAATGCAAGTAGCTCTAAAAATTATAGAACAGTGGTACAAGGACCATATCAATCCTAAGAAGACAGAAATAGTCCTTTTCACAAGGAAAAGGTTAAAAATGGAATTAAAACCTCCAAAACTCCTAAACACAAAACTAAACTTTGCAACAGAGGTGAAGTACCTAGGTCTCACCTTTGACAGCAAGTTAACATGGAACTCGCATTTAGAAAACAGAGTTAAAAGAGCATACATTGCTTATGAACAATGCCGCCGAACCGTGAGGCGCACCACTGTGGTTTCTCCCCCAGAGTCGTCGCATGGACTTACACGGCTATCATAAGACCTATGCTAACATACGGTGCAGTTGTCTGGGTACCGAAAACCCAAAAATTAACAGCTATCCGTAAACTAGAACAAATTCAAAGAACAGCATGTCTCAACATAACAGGAACCATGAAAACAACACCGACTAGAGCCATGGAAGTCATTCTTAGTCTCACTCCCCTTGATATTTACATCAAGGAGGTTGCTCTGACGGCAATGACACGCCTCAGCACGGTCGGAATAGAACCTGATGTAGGATCTGGTGAGGCGAGACGTCACTTTTGGCAGGAGGCGCTGGTTACGCTCCCACTGCTTTAAGCGAACATGGACTCCATCTCACCAAAATATATCTTTCATAAGCCATATAAAGTTATAATAGAACAAATAGAAGAGCCAGAAGTGGCCGGTATGATTCATATCTTCACCGACGGTTCTAAAACAAAACAAGGCTCAGGATGTGGAATATACTCCAGACTCTTAAACCTAAACACAAAATGGGCTGTGAGCAATAGAATTAGTGTAGTTCAAACAGAGCTAACGGGGATACTCATAGCAGCAAAGGAAATAACCAGAAAGAAGATCACTGGAAGGAACATGCTCATCTATACAGATAGCAGACAAGCACTACTCACCCTGAACAGACCACAAATTTATTCAGGGTTAGTACTAGAATGTCACGAAGCTTTGGCCGAAGTGTCCATTAACAACGTGGTCACCTTAAGATGGATTAAAGGTCACGCCACATCGAAAGGTAACCATCTTGCTGATTCACTAGCCAAGAAAACAGCCAACCAAATACTTTTTGGACGTGGCCCTTCTATTGGCCTGACAAAATCGGTAGTGACAGACCTAATCAAAGAACATTCCCTTGTGAAATTCAAGGAAAGATGGGGTGAAACAAGAAACTGCAGAGTTGCCAGGGAGCTCTTAAGTTATCCTGACAACACTACAGCAAACAAATACTTGACTATGACTAGACAGAATCTGCGCCTAGTCACAGGCATTCTGACTGGTCATTGCCAAGTACGAAAGCATCTCCATATCATGAGGCTTTCAGAATCCGCACTCTGCAGAGGGTGCGAACAAGAATATGAGACCATCGAGCATATCCTTTACATTGCTCGACGCTCTCATTTATTAGAAGATTTGTGTTCGGCAAGTATCGGCTAACACTGGCCGATATAAGATAAGCACCTCTTGGCGACTTTGTCAACTACATTAAATCAGTAGGCTGGCTCACGAGCTAGGAGGTGCCTATCTTCTCAGGAGGATGCACAATGGGCCTAATGAGGCCTAAGTGCCGTGGGGTAACCCATCCTCCGCACATTACAGATACAGATAGATACAGATCGCTGAACATAAAAAAAATATATTACCACGAATTGTGAACCTCCTCCTTTTTCTTGAAGTCGGTTAAAAATTAGTACGAAAAATGTCAAAATTTAACGAAAAAAATTTATTTGAAAACACAATTTAATTCACTCAAAACTGTTGAAAAACAATTTGATGTTTTTACTTTACGCATAAATAATCTCTAAATTCTCTTAAACCTGTTAAAACACACAATCTTCTATGGAGATAGTTCAAATTATGTATACGTCATCAGCCACACGGAAAATAAGGCAATATGGTTTCTTATAAACCTAATATATCCTCTAGTATTTAGTCATTGGTGGTGTTCAGGCTACAATTTTCTTATTCTTTTCTTTATTTTATATTTCTGATGCAAGGGGAGATATTTAAGAGTGTTAGTCCTATTCATTTTTGTTTCAGTTAGAGAAATTCAACTTAAATGGAAAAATCTTAAAGATAATTATCACAGGATTTTGAGGAAAGAAAAAGAGGACGAAGCACAAGGCATTCCGGCTTTTAAAAGGAAAAAATACATTTATTATGACGCCTTGGAGTTTCTCAAACCTTATGCACCTTCTACGAGGTAATTTTTCGATATATTCCATTTTATTTTTGAGAGCTGTCAAAGATTTTTTATGTCAGGAAGAGATGAAATGTCACTACTATTTTAAAAATTAGTGTACCTGCAACATTTCATTCTTTCTATTTGTAGTTAACACAGTTATTTAGAATTTAAAGTGTACATTTTTAGTTAGTATGTTACTAAGTTTATTCTATTTTGTATTTTAGAAGTAACGGTGATATGAAAGAAGAAATGGATATTGAAGGAGGAAAGTAAGTAATTCAGTACAATTATTGTTAGTGCCTAGTTTAGTTGTTAATTTCTTCTGATTTGACAGTTTTTTTAACGAATTTTAGATTGTATTTTGCTAATTTATTACCTACCTACTGAAATGTTGATTTATTTCAAATCTATAATGGATAATGTGGTTTTTAATATGTAGGAAATATTAAACCCAGAAGAGTTGTATTCGCCTTGTAATTTACTGATATCAATGATGCTACTTAAGTTTTTGATTCTGGTATTTCCTAGACAGTTTTTTATTGTCTATACTCATTCTATAGTATATATTATAGTAAATATTATTGTTTTCCACAAATATTAGCTATTAAATTTGCCAATTCGTGTTTAAATTTACCAGTTCGTGTCTAATTTTGCCAATTTTGGAACCAGTGCACTGTTCTAACATTAAATTGCATCATTAATGATGAATCTATATACAGGGTGTGGCAAAATATAACCAGTCAAGTTATAAATAAAAAAAAAATACATAAAAATGTATTTTTTGTATGAAAACTATCAAAGCATGTTTATAAAAAACATCTAGTAAATGACCGCCAAGACAAGCCACACAATGACCAACTCTGTTTCAACGCATAATTTGACGTAATATTTCAGCAGGTATTTGCGCAAATTCTTCACGAATATTTTCCGTTAAGTATTCACTCGTCTGTGGAGGATTATTATAAAGTAACTTTTCAAGTGTCCCCACAAGAAAAAATCTGATGCCGTCAAATCAGGGAAATGAGACGTCCACTCAATATCTCCATTTTTCTAGAGCAGTTAGGCAGGGAAAACGTCTCTTAAGAAGAGTGAACATTTCACGAGCTGTGTGGCATATCACGCAATCTTGTAGGAACCATAAGTTTTTTATGCTGTTCTTCAAACTTTCGTATCATGCTCGTATCATTGATACCATTCTCCATTAACAGTAATTGCATTGCTCATGGCATCTTCAAAAAATAATTTTGATCAAACTGCATGTTTTTTTAAATAAAACGAATGTTTTCTGTTACCTAAAAACAATCATTATGCTTGTTAACTCCACCAGAAAGTCAAAAATGTATTCAGCTTCGAAAGTATTTTTACGATAAGAAGGCAGTGACGTGACATGATAAAAAACCTGGGTCGTTGTCAGGTAAATTTTTCTTTCCTTCACTTAAGAGATAACATTGTGACAGTGTTCTTTCTTTTTTCCTAGCTTGAATATAAGTGCATTTAATGTGCTATCAACTTTAAAGTGCTATTAATTAAGTTATAACGTTATTGAAGATTGGAATGGATGTAAAACGGAACTGCTAGTATATAGAACAATAAAATGTTGACTAAAAAGCACAAGTGTTTTAAGATTCAAATAAAAATTAAAAGTTATGTAGTTTTGTAATGTACAAAATAATACTATTATAAAAATATTTAAAATTATTGCAACAAGACAATTTTTTAATAATATATTTTTTTAATTATCGTTTTCTTCGCTCAAGTTCACTACCTACGAAATAAAATTTTCTCATGATTGATGTTTCTATTTTGTTACATGCTGTACAGAGTGCCCCAGCATCTGTTATTGTTATATTTGGTTATTCCAAACTAGAGGTAGTAATGAACAAGGTAATGGACTATCTTGTTTTCTCGAAGCTGATTTTTATGAAATGCTTACTAATCTAGGGATCCTCATTCAAATTAATAATAAGTAGAGGCATATCCCCCTAATAAAATACCACTTCCCTATCCCACCAATCCTGTATTATTTTTTCAGTGTGTTGAACTGTTCACAGCCAAATATCAAGAGTTGCTTTTCTAAAGCTTCTTTCTATGTAACTAGTGCTTTCTCACATTATTGCTATAATAATTTTTAGTGATGCCTCAAATATGTTCAATAGAGTTGAATATGCAATGGTATGGAGGTAGTCAAAGTACCTTCTGTCCATATTTTTTTGCTAACATATTAGCTTTATATTCTTCTGGCGGTTTTTTAAAACACTTTTTAAGCACACGTTATCGTCTGTTGTTACGTCAGCAAATGATAACAGCTATCAATTGTTTAGTAAAAGTAGAGTTTTCCTGTTATTTAATCTCTTTTTGAACTTAATTAATTTAATGTTTTAAACTTTAATAAGGATTAGTTTAGCTCTTAATTTTTTTCCTTTTTATTTCGTTGACAATAGAAATAAATATAAATGACGTCACTTTCTTATCGTAAAAATAGTTTAACGATTTGTGCGTATCGTCTTTTAATATCAATTAGCCTTAGTTTGAACACAGGTTGAATTTTCTACGTATACATGAAAGCCTAAGTACAAAATTCTTCTTAAAGTCTGCTCAGGCAACTGTAATTGCGGCGTACGCTTTCTTGTGGAAGTTTTTGCTTCTGTCTGAGCATCAGCCCGAACAAGCTCTTTATTTTCATTTGAACTACCAGAACGAGGTCTAACACTATACTGTACATCACATAATAATGCCATTTTTTAAAACGTCGTTTTGTTTCTCCACCTAGAGTCCTTACATTAGCGTACGCTCGTCTAAGTGCGCGTTGAGTTGAAATTATTAATTGTCGAGGCGAATAACGCTCCACATCAAATTCTGTATCTTTCTACTTTTTTATAAAACATCACTTTTGATATTTGTTAGGAAATAACAATATTCCAATATTGTTATAATCTAGATAAATACTGCTCAATAATCTTCTATTTTTGATGTATCTGTAATATAACTCGCTAACTTTTAAACTTTCTTTTAATCTAGAAACGCTCCCCACATAATCTACATCAACGAAACAAATGACTCCGAAGAAGATTCCTTACTCCATTCAACTTCCCCAACGATTCCTAAACAAGTCAAAGTTCAAACGCCTACCGTGACCCCCATAGCCCCATTACCCCAAATCCCTAGTTTTGGCACGCTCCAGCCAGTGCAGTTCATCCATTTGCAACCCAATACTACCATTCCCAACCCCAAAAAAGACGACGATGAAGAATCAGCTACCAGTAAATTGACGAAGGTGTTGGAGCAATTGGTGAAGACTCAAGAGGATGACAAAAACGACGACCCTATGGGGAATAAGAAGTTTTTGATGTCGTTGGTACCGTTTTTGAGAAAGTTGCCAGATGACGTGAATTTAGAGGTTCGGTTGCAGATTATGGGAGTGATACAGAGTTACGGGGCGAAGGAGTTGTTTTAGGTTTGTTTGTGAACTTCGTTGTTTGATTTAGAATTTGTTTTTGATTGAAAACTAAATGTGATTTACTTGATGTTTTTGATAATAATATTTTTGTATGCTGTATTTTTATTGTAAAGTAATTGTAGCAGGTAAGGTTATGTTATAAGATATAAATTATGAATTATGAAAATAAACTATTAGATTAAATTATTTATTTGATGTCTTGTTTCGTAAAGATTCTCACGTTTTTTTTTTAGTTTTATACCCTTCGGACCCCTGTGCTAACATCCTAATCCGTCTGTAGCTTAGCGGCACTGCGGCATGTGGCTTATTGTACCAACATTTGAAGGTCCTACTACTTTCCCATTCACCATCACTACCTAATTCATCGTCGGTGTAGATATGAATCGTACCTGCCACTTCCGGCTCTTCTATTTGTTCTTATGTGGCTTACAGAAGATATATCTCGGTGAGATGGAAATTTATGTTCGCTCAAAGCAGTGTGCGCGTATCGAGCGCCTCCTGCCGAAAGCGGCGTCTCTCCTCACCAGATCCTACAACAGGTTCTATTCCAACCGTGCAAAGGCGTGTCATTGTCATCAGAGCAACCTCCTTGATGTAAATATCAAGTGGAGTGAGACGTGAGACAGAATGACTTCCATGGCTCTGGTCGGTGTGGTTTTCATGGCTCCTGTTGTGCCGAGACATGCTGTTATTTGAATTTGTTCTAGTTTGCGGATAGCTTTAAATTTTTGCACGATAGTAAGCTTAGGTCCTATAATGGCCGTGTACGTCCATGTGACGACTCTGGGGGACAAACCCCAGGTGCGCCCCACGGTTCGGCGGCATTGTTTGTAAGCAATGCATGCGCTTTTGACCTTGTTTTCTAAGTGTGAGTTTCATGTTAACTTGCTGTCAAAGGTGAGACATAGGTATTTCACCTATGGAGAGCAAAGTTTAGTTTTGTGCTTAGGCGTTCTGGAGGTTTTAATTCTATTTGCATCCTTTTCCTTGTGAAAAAGACCATTTCTGTCTTCTTGGGATTGATAGGCAGTGAATGGTCCTCACACCACCACTGTTGTATAATTTTGAAAGCTACTTGCATTCTTTCGCAGAGTCATCTACATACGCTATTGCATAGTGAGTGTCATTATTGAAGCGGCTGATGAGGGTGTCGTGGATCATGTCGTGGATATCTCCTTTCAACCAAGCCTCTTATATTTATATCTTCTACACTTATATTTACTGCTCGCTTTGAGAGCATTTTATGTATCCACCCACTAACCATCTTTGAAACATTCCTGTTGGTTAGTGGGTGTACTATCTTGGGGAAGGTGGTTTTATCAAGGTTTGGGTATGAATACCACTTTTACCTCTCACCATTTTTTGGTGACACCTAAGAGCCAACGAGGATCTAAATATACCTACTAGGTGCGGTGTGAGTTCTTTTATACCACACTGAAGTAGGGCTGGAGAGATACCGTCAGGACCTGGTGATTTAAATGGAAAGAAACTGGATATTGTCATCGTCTACAATGTGTTTGGCAGTTTGCCAATCATAGACTGTTGGGTTGTATTTTTCCTCTGCCTAGTCGGCCACGTCTATGATAACCGAGTCAGGGGAGTGTGTTGACAGCAGAAGTTTGATGCTATCTTCTAGGTTTGCAGTTTTCATGCCATCCTCGTTAATTAGCTCACCAATGCTGCAGAGTGGATCTTTTGAAGGAGTCTTTTGAAGCCTCGCTGCCTGCTGAAAATCTTCGATTTCTTCGCAGTAGAATGTCCATGCATCTTTCTGTTTTTCTCTAACAATTTCAACACCAAATCTTCAATGTTTTAGATCGTATTGATCTGATCATTCAGAATGGTATTGATTGAATATTTCTGAACGAACTTATCAAATTTAATACCAGTTTTATGTTCTGTTATACTGAACACTACCAGCAGAACACTCCGTATATACTGTGAACGGTATAATAACAGTCTAGAAACTCCAAACGCGTTATAAATTGAACGCTTACATTTTAATCATCAATAATTAGAAATAAAAGTGTGAATAACGCGAAGTTTTCTAGAAGCTGTTATTTCATAATTACCCGGCAATCACCACTGGATCATTTCATGGTATGGGTTATGGTAGATGGTAGAGTATGGGCCGTAGCGCACCATAAACCGGTAATTTATTTGGCGATCGTTACAAAGCAAGGAAGGAGCTTTCCCGTAAAATCCGATTAGATCGAGATTACGTAACAGAGGTCAATCAATTTTATAATAATTACCTATATTTGTATCAAGATGGAGAAAACTACATTTATTATTTGAAATTTTCCTGCACAGAAAATATTTTCTAGAATTTAATAACAATACCAACACATTTACAAGATGTTTCATAAGGAAAGATAAATAAGGAAATTTAAATGGATTGGTACTTTAGCCATTTCCACAAAATGACATTGTAACATACAAACTTAAAAAATTTGTCAAACTTTTTTTAAGCAAAAAGCAAACATCGAATGTTCAGGGGCGGATCTATATATGGGCAACAAAAAAACAGATTTTTTTCAGATGATGCTTGATTTTTTATTTTTTATTAGAGTACCGTTGCATCCCCACATACGACCAGAGAAATACTTCAATATATTAGAGAATTTTTTGATGACAGAATAATAAACAGGAACACTGAAATTCTATATCCAACAAAATCTGGCGATTTAAAAAAGGTGTATCAACTACTGATGCCATAAAGAAACTCAGTGGCGGATTTAGGAATCGTTCTAGCAGGGGCGCTGCAAAATTTGTTGGCGAGATACGAGGATAGTTCATGAATTATTGTCCCTAACATTGTTGGCGTTGAATGATAAATGCAAATGATGTGTCAGGCAGAAGCTTATTGTTTGACATTAGTGTGTGCCAATTGGCATCAGCGCATCAGTTCGTGTATGTTGAATATTAATTTTTTTTCCATTGAGGTGTGCGTGATTTTATTAAAATGGACAAAATTGAGGTAAGAGGTGCGATAAAGTACCTCTGTAAAAAGGGGTTATCACCGCAAGAAATTTATAAGGACATGCTAGAAGTATTGATGACTCTACCCCTTCGTACCAGGTAATCAAGAACTGGTCATGAGATTTCAAACTGGGAAGAGAGTCCTGTCAACATGCACCAAGTTCAGGAGCCCCCAAAGAAAATGTGAATTTAATCCATGACTTGGTATTAAATGACAGAAGAATTACAGTCTAGGCTATAGCAGATACATGTAGGTTTTCTGTTGGAAGCGTTGAAAACATTTTACATGAGTAATTGGATCTCAAAAAACTCTCTACACGTTGGGTTCCACGAATGCTGATGACAGTTCAGAAGCGTGTTCGCCAGGTTGCAGCGGAGACAAATTTGGAGATCATTAACAGAAATCCCGATGAATTTAAGCGAAAATTTCTTACGGTCGACGAAACATGGGTCCATCACTTTAATCCAGAATCCAAAAAACAAAGCATGGAATGGCGGGATACCCGTTCCCCCATATAATTTGATTTTCTCTTACTATACGGAGAATGGTCGAACTGCGCAGCTTTCTGAGTGCCTTTTAAAAGGAGATAGAAAACTCCGCCATTTTGATGCCTTATTGCGTGTTGCCTACATCTTGGCACAATATTTTTAATAGGTGCGTTTTAATCATCCGCTTCTGCTACGGAATTGTCGGTTTTCTTGTTTTAATCTGACAGGTTAAAACGACTAAACCGACAATTCCGAAAACAGAAGCGGATGATTAAAACGCACCTCATATTTCGCTTGCTGCTGTCAGTGTCAGTGAATATTATTTTTGGAGTCACAGTTTATTGCTAAAGAATCAGTTAGCTCACTTGGACCAGTTGAAAGTTCCAAAATAACATCCACTCCAGGGATACAAATTCAGGATGCGCAGAAGACTGCTGTTTTATTATAGTCGGTTGTCAAATATTGTATTATCCGAGTTATGCAGTGTATAAACTGAAACATTGAGATCAAAAGTGCCGACGCAGAGTGAGCGAACTGATTCTTTAGCTATAAATTGTGGTAAAGGCATCAAAATGGCCACGCCCTATGTTGGGCGTGTCGGACCTCTCTCTTGCACCGTATAGTAATCAAAGTATGTGGGTTCCCCTCCCCTTCGAAAATTACATGTTGTCTCATCAGCTGGTAAGATCATGGCTACAGTTTTTTGTGATTTTCGTAGATTATTTACCGCGTCGACGCACCATAACAGATGAATATTATGCAAATTTAATACCAAAAATACGCCAAGCGATCAGAGAAAAGAGAAGAGGAAAATTGAGTCGAGGTGTACTCTTTCACCAGGACAAAGCTTTGGCCCACAAAAGTTGTGTTGCAATGACTGTTATTCACAATGCGGGATTTGAAATTTTTAAACCATTCCCTTATTCTCCAGATTTAGCCCCCAGCGACTACCATCTATTCACAAAATTAAAAGAACATCTTCCTGGAATCCGCTTTGGTTTATTACAGTAAAAACCATGGAAACATGATTAAATCTAAATGAACACTTTTGTTATACCGATCAGATGTATTAAAATTTAAATTTTAACTACAAATAGGCATTGAAGGATGAGGTATAAATAAAATGTCTACCTCTTGAACCTGTGCTACGTTCTGAAAATTAAATTACTGCATTCCTTTCTTCTCTAGACTATATTTAGGTATTCATAAATTATCACTATTTAATTAATATAATTTTTTCTACAATAAAGATTTTGCCATCATTTGACTCTTCAAGTACTAATGATACAACCGTCAGAATATGTAAATGCGATAATTATAAAAAAAGTGAAAAAGAAAAATAGATAAAATTTAATAATGACACATCTAATGACTCTATTTGAAAATACAAATTCCAAGACTTACGAAGTGAATTTTTTCATAATTACACTCCATTACTTGAATGACCTTGTAGACAACTAGTTTTTTTAATATATTTATTTTCTTCGGATTACTTAATGATACCTGAGTACGTTGTTCACATCAATTGAAATGAAATTTGTAGAAAACAATTAAGAACTTGTAATTTTCCGCTTTTATAGATAGCTTTAGCTATTTTAATATTGTAAATATACATATTTTAAGATACACCACACCAATAGAAGCTGTAAGATCAATAGTAGTTAATTGGAGC